ATTACCAGTGTAGGCTAACTAATCCTCCACAATGGTGGCAGTTGCCCACTCTTGGCTTAAAACAGATTATGCTCTATGTTATTTACTCAACGAAAAAAGTTGACCTATGACTGGATCTTTTTTTTTTCGAGTTGTCTGGATGCCCTGCTTTATAGTGACAGGACTTCCTAGCAAACCATTCGCCAGACATTATTTGCAGAAAGAAGTGTCGAGGTCCAGCTGTCGTTCGATTCAAACTTAATAGAAATTGACATTTGGAGGAAAATTTTCACAGCAAATATTCTCGGAAGGAAAGAACATAGCCCCACGGATCGCACCATCGCTCATGGGCCTCGTACATTTCAAGTATCCACTGAATTCCTTCGTCAGTTTGATTGACTAGCTAGCCAGGTAGTCAATGTCAACGTTAAAAAGTTGAATTTTTTCCCGAGTTCCCGACTTCTTTCCCCTTTTCAGCAATTTGAAGTCACCTATCTGTCTGCATTGATAATGCATCTCTCTTAACCGCTATTGACTGAATTTCCATGCCTCTTCCGACTATAGCATTTTCGTTGTTAACCAATTTTACAAACTTGGTTTAAGAAAACACCGAATTCTAGCACCCTCTCGAGAAAGTCTGGGAACATCCAAGAGAACCGCTCGGTGATTATGTCTCTCATGCGTTGGCTTACCTTACTGCATCTAAGCACATCATTACAGATTAAGCAGTAAACGCCCAGCGTCGACCAGCATCATCAGGATTTTGCATCAAATGCACTTGTTTCTCACGTTGGTATTGCTGCCTATCCATTCATTTCAACTTAACAGTGAGCAACCGACAGGTTATTTAATTGGTCAGGTAGGTACAATGTAATAACGTTATCTAGAAGGCAGGTACTTTATAAACGAAAATTTGTTTCATTTGCATCAACCTCAGGGGGATGGGTACATTTACCCAATCTGGGATGGATTGCGTGACGAAATTCGTACTGATTTGAACGACGCTGGTGTCTGCCATTGGTGGCAAAGATTTTAAGTAGATTAGATAAGAAGGGCCAGCTGATGCTACTTATCTACCCTATCTACCTCCAACTTGTGCCCCAACGGTAGGCTCCAGAGTCGCTTACACCACCACGAACTCCGCCGCACAATTTGCCGCGCCCATTCAGAATTAGGTGAATGTTCCCTTCCCCCCAACACTCCCCCCNCCCCCCCTCCCCCCTCCTTAACCGTAAAAACCGTTCTTCTACTCTTAATCGTTGACAATGATACATAAGGTCTTTCTTCTGCAGTTCTTTCGATGCTTGTGTCGGGCACACCGGCTGAACTATTTTTGTTACTTACTATCAATACTACTGTTAACGTACTTACTAGATATCGTACGCTGAAAAATTATTTTAGAACGGCGAAAGCAGACATCATACATTAGAACGAGACGAGTACCATGGATCGCATAATGACTTTTATTTGGAAGATGATTTGGAGGAAGAGGTAAGATGTAGAACTCACTCATTGCTTGTTGGTACGTGGTGCGGTTATTAGTTATTTTCCCCTTTTTTTACTTCAAGATGATTATACATAGTCCAAGTTTTATCACACGCATATTTGGGGAATCGAATTTTGAATCGATATTCGCCCAGGTAGACCAAGCCTTGCATCCCTAGGGTCGCCACTTTGGTACCAGATTTGTCTGGGAAGAAAAAGCACGGCCCTGCACACCGCCTACCCACCGCAAGCTCCATGTTGTAGGCTACGCACGCTGACTTCGAGAAGACTTCAAAGGCCTTACAATCAAAATTATTCAAGTCACTCCAGGAAAACTAACTTTGCCTCCTCAAATTATTGTTGGCCTTTCAACTGTGATAAGGGTTAAACGACCTCGTTGGAAAGCCTATTCTCTTCCGACTGTAATTCAGTGTTAGATCTCGAGGCAGCGATGGATGGGTTTTTTTTTGCTATCGAACCGCAATAGTCTGAGAGCAACTGATCCACATCTTGCCCTACGCAATTCGTAACCAAATGGCTTTCCAATTGTGGTGCTTTTTGTGCGGCTACATCTGTTTCTGGCACATTGTCGGGCTGAATAGACTTCAAATTTAAATGAAAAACATTATGTGACACATGCGGTTGTAATGCTTTGCTGGATTATGTTGAACTCCTGTCCTGTCACATACTATTCAGCAACTAACAATAGCACATAAACATATGAATGTATAATTGGTCAGGGATATTCCATCAAGTGCACCACAAAAGCCTTGAACAGGTATAGCAGAGAGTGAGACTTCGTTAAAGTAATACTGAGGTGGCTGGAACCATCAAACGCCTTCTGCGCAGACTAGCCTGCCACAGCTATGGGTTCAGCGGAATGCTGCTGCAAATATTTATTGGAAAATTCAAAAATTCAAAATATCTAACATGGGCTGCCTTCTCACAAAGTGAGTTGGATGATAGGCGACGGGCCGTGCACCTGTCAAATAGTCCCACTCTCTCGGAAGAGAATCAGATCCCCTACGAGCCTACGAGTTTATTGTAGCGACCTAACTTTTTATTTATAAACCGGAAACTAGTAGGCTTCCCATTGTTGCTCACATTTTACCGCAAGCTGATATACATGGCGCGATGATGAGCCCTGATTTCAAGGAAGAAGTTCATTGTTATCGGCATCTCGCCCTCTGAGACCACGATTCAGTTCTGGTGAGATGACGAGCACGCTAGATTTGATTGGGCCTACTATGGAATGAGGCGGTCATCGTGAAGCTTAGTCTCCTGTAGGACTACCTAAAGTATCGCCGAAAATCCTATTCAATTTGGAGTGCCGGGGATTGTACAACAGTAAATCCACCAGACGTAATCCTGAAAACCCTACTGACTAGCGTTGTTGTCTACTGTACCAGTTGTTATTCACAGTTACCGAACAAACAATTGTTCTTTTAGGAAGAACTGAGCACCAGCCGACATAGCCGTAGACGTGGTGGTATTCCCATGCGGACGATAATGAGGAACGAGGGTGGAAGTGGCGTCGCCCATGGAGCTCATTTGTCTACGGGAGGGAACTCCGTCTTCAGCCAAGGGTCAGTTCACTGCTTACCTTAGCCATAGGTGGTAGAGTAGATACGCACGTCCACGCATCCATCTCCACAAAATGTAGATGAAATAGAGACCTCCATGTTGTCTGGCTGATATCCCTGCTTTTCGATGTGAAGCGTCAAACTCACTCGCTTTAGAACAATTCCAGCAGCTTTGCTAATGTTTTAGAGCGTATCTAATCTTCTATTTGGCTTGTGTAACCAAGAAGTACCACCGACTTCTCCGCTTTTGCTGCTTAATTTTTTTGCCATTGAAGAATTTTGATATTCACTCTCTAATCACTTCCTTAACTCCAGTGAGCGTTCATATTCACCTCTCAACTAACACAGGCCGCTTTCGCTTGAAGTAAACATCTAAAATACAAAAATCAAATAAGTTTTATCAAACCTTATGCCCATCAGATACATTTCAAGAAACAAATCAAGCGCCTGAGCTCAATAATTCATAATAGATGACTTTTCATCAAAAACAACTTCAAGATCCTTTATTGATGAGCTCCCGCACTTGGCTGTAGACGTTTAGCCTAGACTTTGATTGAAAACTTAATTTCTCAGTTAGACTTTCAACTGACAACTCGAAACTATCGGACTCCGATTCCCACACAGGCACGCACGCGGCAGCGTTTGGCGGCAATTACCGTAATCATCCACTACACTCATTCAAACCTTTCACTTACCCTATCTTGAGTTCGATCGGAACAACACACCAATCAAACACAAGGAGAACGGGTATGTGCACTTGCGTCCGAGGAGACGATTTGAACGTCTTTAGCGCCTATCATTGGGGCCCAAGTTTGTGTAGATTAGAAGGATCATTTGACCCTACTAAACTGCTCTACTTCGAGTATGTGCCCCGGAAATTGACGTCAGGGTCGTACAAATCGTCACAAACTTCGTCGCGCATATTGCTGCGCGCACCCTCGGACGCACGTAGGTTCCGTTCACAAGGAGAACAGCGGATCATGAAATTATGGGAACCTAACGCTGAGAGGAAAATAAAGCACTCTTAGCTACTGTGTACCGGCAGGAGAACACAGTTGGCACACAAAAACGTAGGCTTGAAGTTGACGGGACTTATCTGCTGAATCGCTATAAGAGCTCACGATTACATTAAGTTTTTCCTAGGTGCTCAGAAGCTCCGTAATTGAATAGAAGTGTGCTGGGAAATCCCGTCTTAGTTATGTACGGGTCTTCAGAGTGCTTCCTGGCAGCCAGCTTTGTAAGAGAGTCAGCCACTTGTTGGGGACGTTAACTATTATAAGATTCCTTGAAGTACTAGCCGATACCTCTTGAAGCTCGTCTTTACAGCACGGAAGCAGCAACTGGAAGAGTATGTATGGGGTTGTTCAGACTTTCGCGACGTATACACCATAATGAACCAGACTTCTCTTATACCAGACCCTTCAAAAGGACGTATGAACCTACTCAAAATCCCAATACAACCAGTGGTCTCACTTCCCAGGAGCGGATCAGTTCTTTAGATCCTTGAAAGACTGAAAGGCCTTGGGAAAGAGTTGTTGGATAGGCTGCAATTGATCCTTGATGTACTCGAGCCGTGTGGTCTTTTCTTTGTCAGTAAATGTAACTGGAGCATTACAGCCCTGGAGGCCCTTCAGAGCGTGAAACTTCCCACTCACCCGATTTTTTCATGAAAGACTTCAACCATGTGCCATGATCGCATAATTTTGTATTCTTCCTGTGTACCAAACTCCCCCTATTGTCTACTTCAACAAGTTCGACAAACCGGACTCTTCCATAATTTATCAGAGCTTACGCAAACTGTATACGGACAAATTTCAAGAAATTGAGGGTCTTCTTTGTCCTTCATGGATCCGCTAGGCATAATAGAAACGACTGTCTATTATCAGAAATGATTCTCGGCCAACCAAAAAAAATTTTATTTTGCATTTTTTATTTTTCGTTTTCACTGCAGAATTGTTCAGAAGTCTAACATATAGTATTGCTTTACTAGCTGAAATTCACCAGAACAAATAACTTTTGTTTATTTCAGCCAATTAGGTAACTATGGGTAAGTCACTGTCTTCCTTTTGGTGGTTTGGGTTTTCTGGTAACCTCTTTATTTTCCTCTGATTTTCATTTCAACTTTGTGATGATATGAAAACTTTTTCTGCAAGCTGCTGTAGCTTTAGCATGCTGCTAGCATGGTTGCTTACCTAGAATGTGGTGCGGTTTGAGTTCATGGTCTATGCAACCGTATCCATCGCCCTGTGGAATGGTCGATTAACGATTTTAATTTCAGTGAGACGAGAGATTTCCTTCAGTTCCTCAAACGTATCAATTACGATCATCGACAGTGTCCGGAAAATGCTGCTGGAGGTAAGCCTCTCGCCAGCACCCTGTATTCAAAAAACTACATAATGGTCATTTCAGCTGTCCAGGTTGAGGTCTCAGTAGTGGTCAGCAACATTCGAGCTGTGTCAGAGGTTACAATGGTGAGTTTATAATGCAAATCTCTCAGTAAGGATATGTCGAAAGCGTAGAATGAGCTTCTATCCACCAAAAAATCTACTAACTCATATTTAATCGTTCAGGACTATGCCCTCGAATTGTTCTATCGTGAATCGTGGACAGATGATCGGCTCAAATTCAATATTTCCCTCTTCAAGAACAAGACGAAGCTGGCACTACACGAGAGCTACACAAACTTTCTTTGGTTCCCGGATACATTTGTGCCGAACGCAATAGCATCGAAAAATCCCCAACGCAACAGTATATCTCATCGATCGCTTCTAAGGTTAGTTAGGATAAAGGATAAAATTTCGGCGTCAATCAATCCCGTCTGAGGGATGCGTCCCCGCACACGACTTCCATTCAGAATAGTAGTGGCGTGATGAGTGCGTATGTGACCTATACAATAACTTGCGGTGGCCAGCCGGTGTACAAGTCAGTGCTTTTATCCTCCCAGAAGTGTCTGGTTCCAATTCACCGACCCCGGGGGATGGAAGGCTTGGTTGGTCTAGGCGGGTATCGATCCGGGATTCGACCCCTGACCGTACATACGTGTGAGATAGTGCGCCACTTGCCACACACCACCTCCGCCAGCTTCTAAGGTTAAGAGACAGAAAATCTTATATAGAATGGCTCATAGTGGTTGGATTAGTATGGGCTTTTTAATAGATCACCTACCGCAACTCCTTTTCTAAAATTTTAATACCATAAAAAAATTCGGATCGAAAAAGAGCAACATAGACAACATCTTCATTCATCTTGTTCCATGAAGACTCCCCTGAATTTTCACAATATTTCGATTCTGAGCATTTTGATAAGGTTCCCCAAGATGCCTTCAGCGTTCCCCTCTTGCGTGAATGTTCACCATTCATTTTAGGCTCGAGAGCAATGGGCAACTGCTCTACAGTCGCCGCATATCGCTAGTTTGTGAATGCAGTACGTTTTTGTTGTGTCATGTCTCAGTGAAAGAATCTGATCCTATTTATAGACTTCTCTAAGAATCTCAAATGTACATTTATTTCAGCCATGGATTTGACCCTCTTCCCTTTTGACAAGCAATTATGCAAACTTGGAATTGAAAGCTGTAAGTTCTCATGATGGGTGATGTAAAGAGATTGAAAACAACATTCCCCACAAAAGCCCACTAACACTAATAGCGAGCATATTTCAGATGGATACACCGCGGATCAAGTGACATACAAATGGTCGTCTGGTTCAAGACCTGCGTTGAAACTTCACAAAATCCGATTGCCAGATTTCACCATCAAGGAAGCCTACGTGACCAATCAAGTAGAGGTCTACGCCACCGGTTGGTGATTAATCTATAAGTGAAAATTCCTGGAGCATACATCCATCTATCTTAGGTTTCCGCACCAGTCTATTCGTATCCATCATCAGTTTTATGTATGTTTATGTTTTTCCCTTCAAACGGGCAGTACCCCGTTCACTTGCATTTTGAAGACAGCTTCATAGAAATCACTGGTTGATACACCTCTCACTCAACTTCTCCTATGCCCATCGCCCTTATATGAACTCATGAAAAGATTTTGAACACGTCCAGGGTGCAGTACCTCAGACATCGAGATTATGTACTTCCTTTGGCTGCTTTCATAGTCCACGATCTGGCTAGCAAGCGAGCGACCGGGGGTTCTACTCATCCTGCGGTATCGATCAAAATTCAGTTGTAAGTGGCAAGCGCCATCCCGGTCGCTCGCTTGCTCGCTCGATCGGTCGGTCGGTTGGTCGGTCCGTCGCTCGCTCGCGAGCCAAATCGTGGACTATGGAAGCAGCCATAGGCGTCTGGGCTGTGAGTGGGAAGTGAATTATGATTTTAAAGACAAGAAAGAACTGAAAAGGCAATTGAGAATTTTCCACATTGAACCGAGTTTCCTTGAACTTTTGCGGAACTGGAAACTTCCGTCCATGTAGTAGAAGGTACGAAGAAAGGCATATCGGAGAAACTTAACCCGCAGAATGAGCATGAATTCAACATTCAGTCCATACCTTAGAATAGGCTGGTAACAACTCACTCAGCCCCCTCTTCTTTCTATTCTTTGCATGACCACCACCCTCAAACCGAATGGAATGCAATTACACGATCACAGCTGCTCTCCCTTTCACAAACTGACTTCTGATTTCTGATAGCCGCTAGATAAGGTTATCCAATCCCTGCCTTTTTTGTCTCCCCCTTTTTTCGAGACCATTACATCAATCGGTATATAAAGTTTTTTTTCATCGTGTATAGATTCCAAATTGATTGGACGAGTTCGACATCACGGCTTAAGGTCGCTTACTAGAGCTTCTTAAAACAGGTAACTACTCTCGTCTCTATGTGTGCTTCGTGTTCTCTCGTTCGTCCGGTTTCTGCTTCCTCCAGTTAATTATTCCTTCGACCGCGGTCGTCATTACGTCATGGGTCTCTCTATGGATGGAGAGCGAAACCGAGTTTCAGGTGAGTTGTCTGTGTCATGAAAAAAGAAGTCTGTGTGTGTACAGTGTCATCAGAATTCTCACACCCTTATTCCTTGTATCTTTCATTGAATAACAGATAATAGAAAGGTGTTTCGAGAAGAATGGCTTAGGCAGTAAGCTTGCCCCACCTAGGGCTAATAATAGATTGTTGCTGGCGGTACTGCAGTCGTATTACACGAAGTACCTATCGCAAAAGTGCTGCTGAAGGTCTGCTTTGAAGAGAAACTGTAACTTCTCTTCTGCCGTATCCTCGAAATAACTCTTAAAAAAGGCAGACTATTGCCGGTTAGGCTGGGACCACGCCTTCCACCCCCACAGGCTCAGTCATTTGATACCAAGCTCGGCTGAGAGGGCAAAAACACTAACTTCTACAGTGATTGGTAACGGCAACTCATTGTAGGGGCTTCAAACACATTCAAAACACCACTCAGATTTTTTACGATGATGGGGCGCATCCCTGAACGGGACTGATTGACTACAAAAGACCTTAGAGACACTATTCTTTATCCCTTTCTACCATTCACGGTGAAAAAGGTGAAGTGGTGCTCTGGTTAAATACCGTCCGCACCGAGAAGCCTTAGGTGTATTAGCGCTGAGACGTAACAGAGGACCCGAAAATATGAGTGGAGAAAGGGTGTGTCCATTACGTTCGGTTCTGGTGAAGATTGAGGAAGATTGCCATGTTTTCTCTCATATTTTCTCTTGAAACTTCCCGAATTGTAGGATATGATATCGATTATTTTGGCAATCACCTTTCTAATATTCTCATACAACGAAATGATGCCTCGAGTCAGTTACATCAAAGCAATGGATATCTATCTCGGTTTGTTCCTTGCTAACATAACCAGCAGCCCCAGTAATAATATCGTGTCATTCAGGAGTTTGCTTCATGATTGTTTTCCTTTCTTTGATCAAACTCGCATTTGTGAAGTACATGCGTCAGAGGCTCAGAATGGAAAGGTGGCTACACTTTGTTTTACGAATTACCACATAACCTTTCCCAAAAACGTCTCTACCTGAGTTGCAGCGAAAGCATTCATTCCATCAGTGCGGGGATGACTGGCGATCGACCTGTGAATGGCAGTATTCCAAATAAAACTGGTTCAAATCTCATCCTACGGGATGGAAGGTAAGAAGGATTCGTGTTTTCCCTGCACCAGCGGTTGGGCTGTGAAGAAACCCTCATACGACTTTTCAAGGACTCAATACGTGACAGTGCCTATAGCGGATATGGATGAATCTTTCGTAACAGACGCCCAAAAGGAACGACTAGGTGATTTTTTGGATTCTCCTGACTGATTCAACTCCATGTCTTCAAATCTTCGACTCAATTCGAAAACCTTGATGATCCATGGCTTTGTTTAGGTGAAAAAATGCTCAAAATGATGGACATTCGTTTCACGCCAAAAACTATGCACAGATTTCAATGGATGTCACAGGTGCCATGACATCTTTTTCTGAATAGGGTTCTATGTCGATCATTCCATGAAAACTTCCTGTATTCTTGAATTTCAGATGCTGTTCTTCTTCGGTTTCGTCATCTTCTGTCTTTTTTACTTTCTAGTCTATCCGAATTTGCACTTTGTCAGCATCGATCCCACCTGTGATAAGGCTCAAGCAGAATGGTTCGCTGAGATTATCTAAGGATCACGTCAGATCGGGCAGCTTAAAAACTTTGCGCATCTATTGTGACTATTCTTTCGCCAGCATCACTATTTTTTGAATAACTGCGGGTCAACGTCAAGCTATCGGTATTCAATGTATCCCGACAGATCATTCTGGGTAACCTTGTGAAGAAGGTACGCCTGGAACACTGTAATGCATTGTCTCATAATTACTCTACAAAACAATAACAAATTTTGCAGATTTTCTTTTTGAGTGGGCAGAAGAACACTGATCGGTAGGAATATCTTGGTAGGTAAACTGGTAACACGATGGAATGTGTCTAGTTCGTAGAAGCTAGTCATAGCAGAAGCTTACCCAAGACAGCATAGCCAAACGTTTGAGGTGATAAGGCTGTCAGAGTAGGCTGTTTTCGCGTCACTGCACCAAGTCTTCTGTGATATATTTTCGTTAATGTCTCACAAAATCATTTCTGAGGGAAGATTCCGGCTTGCGCACCCAAACTCTTGAAGCCCCCCTGTTTTTTGCAAATTCAAATCACCACACGTCCAACATTCCTACCCATCATTAGCCTACTTTTTTAATAAGAATTGCTAGCTACTCCCTCATTTTATTTACTTTATGGGATGAAAGCGGTGTACTGGTAAGTACATGGGCTATCACTATCGCACGTGAATTGTTTGAGGATCAAATCCCACCTAGGCCAACCAAGCTTCCCATCCCTTAGCGTCGGTCATTTCATAGCAGTCTCGTTTATGAGAAGAAATCCCTAACCTGTGGGGAACTGATCAGAGCCAAAACAATTTCACTACTAAAAAGCCCTCATCACTCACCTACTGATTCCAACATTGCGAGTTTTCCCAGGCATCTCCTAAATCTTCGATCCCGGGCTAGGTAATTCCACGGTCGGTATTATGCATGGTGCTGACAGTATTAGGAAGAAGATTGGTTTATCCAAAAGCACTTCTCTACGAGAAACTGGGAAACTTTTGACCTTTTGAGCTGGGTATAAGCAGTGAACACCATAATGGAAGAAACGTCGAAATGCTTTGTTGGGTAGCCACGCTCTAATATACATTCGCGAGCTTCACCGTTACCAAAACTTCAAAGAGCCCCTGCTGATCCAGGCGTTTATGACCTATCTATTGGAAGAATTTTGATAGAAATTCTTTCTAATCGTAGAAAATCAGAACTTAAGCAATCGTGATATGATGGATTCGGTCGTCCTTAATGAACTTGGATCATTCACCCACTAGAAGTAGGACTTTCACCGGGGGTCGTCTTCCACGCCATGAGAGTAAAGGGATAAGCATTATCTAGTGTAGAAGACGGTGTAGCAGTGCTTTTTGCGACTCCACAGTATATTGCTAACTAACAATTAGCACATGGCCACTAGAAGATGGTGTTTGCCCTCGCCACTAATAAATAATGCACCATTTATAAGCGATACTGATGTAGTATAGATGTCAAAGCCGTTCCGCCAAACGCAGCCGGTGAATACAATTACGAGTAATGCATTCAAATTTCCAACATTTTTCATGTACGCGAATATGCATGCCGATCATATTTCACAATGGAACATATTTGTAATAAAGATTATCTGATAAAAATTTTCTGACCATTCTTCCCGAGTATGTAGGGATTTTATGGCAATTATCAGTGTAACTGTCTGTCGCGGTGACGGACTATTTTACTTTTCTAAGTTATCCAAACAATAAGGCAAGAAAGAACAGCTGGAGGCGATATAGACGAAGACAATCTGATAAAATGAGGGAATGCCAAAGGTATCCGGTAAGGTAATCGGTCATATATTCTCTTTTCTACTATCTAGTGTTGTCTGGAAAGCAAGGCTCCATCTCTACACCACTAATGACAAGTGTTGGGCGGAGATTACTGTGTCCACCTCCAACATATGGGCGAACTCTGCCTGACATAAACCTCCTCACCCAACACCTTTCTTCTTGAATATCCTGATCTAGGATTCGCGTTTTCGCTCAGAGCAGAAAATATCATTGAGGGTTTTCATTTCCAATATGATTTTTACCTATTCAAATGCATTTTTGAGCGGAGGAAATTCATACAAGATACAGACAAGCTCAGCAGTGATATTATGGTACGCATATGTAGTCAGTGTTGATGCCAAGAGCTGATCGTAGTGTCCAATGTAGATCTTGCAGACGATCGCCATTATCTCGTAAGTAACGGTGTATCTGAAATTAAAGATGGAAGACCACTGAGTAACTACATTGACTGAGGTCCCTAATTACTCATAATTAGTCTTTCTTAGGCTTTTTGCAGTGAGAAAAAATGTCCAAGAACATGAATTGTGTCCCTACTTGTGCCTACTCGTTGTTTTAAAATTTGCTGTAGAATCACAGCCACCAACGGCCGCGACGAGAAACAGGTTGTCGTTATGGCCCAGGAGGTAGGTGAAGTGTCCAAAGTAGAATAGGACCTACATTACCGTAAGAAAATGGAAAATTGTGAACTGCCCATAATGAGCTTACTCGGACCTGTGTCCCAATTCTTTACGAGTTAAGATTCGAAAGGCAGAGAATGGATGTTTTTCAATTGCAGTTGGAATGCGAACAAAGTTTAGGTTTCTGATAGAAGTATCGTTGTCGAAACACATTGGTCGTACGGGATAGAAAGTCAGGTGCTCGAGAATGTCTAGACCTTTTCGGAAGGCACTGATTTCAAAGGCAGTAGACACACAGTTTAAGGCAGAGTCTGATTGACAAAATATCCAAAGATCCACCTCTTCAACAGCATTCGGACCAATTTCTCTCATCGTCATATCGTAGAGTCTGGCCATTCGAAGTTCCACGGCGAACTCCAACTTACGTATCAATGGCATTTTAGCAATAATCAAGTATGATTCAATTTCACGCAGCACAGTAAGCATACGATATTGAGATGCCAAGATGCTCATCACCAAATAATTGTCTCTAAATGATAAGCAATTATTCGAACGGTTCTCCATCTCTTCCACAGTGATGAAGAATCAAAAACTTGCTTGTGAATCACTACCGATCCAAAACGAGCCGTGGCATGCAATAATATCTTCATATCATCAGGTGCTACCTCAGTCACTTCGACAAAATCCACGCCTGCTTCCTAAATTATGGTAAAAAAGCACACGAAAACATAAGGAAAAAGACAATTCCTTTAGCATGACAAACAGCGCTACTAAACTTTCTCCAATTGAGCCAGTTCCTCAGCTTTCTTTAAGACCAGTTGGAATTAATTACATTGAAGTGAAGTCTTACAAACCTGCTCCACTTTCCAACTGCTGAACAGTGGTCCACCAAGTTCGGCAAGTGTTCGAAGATCGACAAAAAAATTGTAGGGACCACACTGAAACGAGGTATTGAACTTGACTTGATCCCTCGACTCTGGACATGAGTTCTGGTCTTTACAAATTAGGGATGAACAATGTTAAATGGAACATTGCCACCTTGCACCCCTCAAAAAANAAAAAACCGATCGATGGACGCTCAGATACGGTCATTAAATATGGTCTTAGATCGTGTTCGGGAATATCATCCCAAGCCCATTTCTGAGGGGGAATTTGGGGGAAAGTAACAGCAAAAAAAAAAAGAGTTGATATAATTGACTCAAGGTAAATCCAATTTCACTCACACGAACTTCAAAATTCCTGTATGCTGTCTGACGACTCAGGTTCACAGATGAAAGTAGTTGCACCGTGCAAACCATAAGGTTCAGAGATCCGCTGCTAGCTGTGTGTTTTTCCAGCACTTTCTTTCCGGGCTCCCATAGATCCCTTTTCACCTAGATTGGCTTACTTATAGTGTTTTATTTACTAGTCACGCTGTCAGAGTTCCTGAGAAGAAAACCCAAATACTTTACCTCTATCGTCTCCTCACCGATGGTCAAAACGAAATCTACTAATATTGCATACTCGGCCGAATCCATTGGTAATATTCGTAATATGACGGTATTCATACCCGCAAGCTCGCTAACCTGAAATAAAATACACAAACGTTTTGATATAAGCATCTGCTACTCAATTCAACCCAATGGAGAAATTACTTCTAGATGCGAGAACCGTTCTCTTCGAAAAACTGAGTGCAGGGCATAACACACTTTCATCACAATTTCAACTCCTACCTTGCCGATAGCTCTATCTCTCTCTACTTCCAGGCTATTTTAAATGATACCAAGATATCCGCAAACGACGATCAAGCGCAGAAAAGCAACAGATGAAAGCCACGAGACTACTCCCCAAATATCACTAGCCTACCTTTGAGATGAACAAATCATATCATCAATCGTCATGTTCATATATTAAAGGATGAAAATAGAGAACAAGTTGTAACTCACCTCGACCTCAACAGAAAACATTTCGAAATTCCCCGCTGATTTCCGCTTTGAAGTGGTTGTCCTCAGAACTGTTACATACTGATCCATTGTGGAAAAATCTGTAGCTACTCTATGCGTGCTTTGCCATATGCACGGCCACTGAAATCTCAATGAGATGCAATTAAAACTTCTAAGCGACCTTACATGTGTTTGGGTTTTGGGTTTTTCGGACAAATCTCCAATTAATGATTTACCCCCACCATTCTATAGAACGAAAATGTTACCGATTTTTCCAAATACTAAGGCGGTTAGGGAACGATTCTTTTCTCGAAAGACTTGTACAGCTGTTTTTTAAAGATATATACTCCGTCAAATTCCTTCGCGTTAAATCTACGCCTTTACGAGCCATAAACACATTTTCTGTACACTTTATACATACAGAGAAAAACAATAGAGCTGCAATCACATTTTCCTTTACAGTGAATGTGAGAACCATAGTAGGCCGAAAAACAGTGGAACAATAATGAGCACTCCACAAAAAGATTCCACATAATAGATAGCACAAAAGCAGTTCCAAGCAAAGTTTCAGCACGGAAATAGTATACTCTATATTATTTATCGAAGCTTACACTACGACTAACATCTTCATAACCACATTCACTACATAAGACACTCTGCAACACATAGTGGTAACAATAGGACACGAATGAGAAGGAACCGAAGAAACTTTACTTCCCAATTTTAAACTCGTATCACGCCCGTGCTACTTCATCAAGGAAACTATGCTCTTTTCATCACATTATTGAACGTCACGGCCGGATACCCTCCATTTATACCAAGCTGTTCGAACCTTTATATGGGTTTGTACAGCAATGTTGTCACGTACTTTTTGCGATACCTAAAAAAATTTAGGTTGTGACCTCGGAATAATAACAAGTCCTTCTAATTATATGCCTACAGATAAATGGAAAATGTCTTATAGAACGATGATTAAACTACTATATAGGGATGATCAGACAAAAAACATGCATTTCAGTACAGATGAACAGATAGCTCCTTACCGATGAGTGGCCGAAAGCACCATTACACCGTCTTTGATCGAGAGAGCATAAAGATGATTCAGCATAACGTGATTCGGTTCTGGGAGCACATTTGGATCGCACTGCACCGGAGTATCTTTATTCAGGATGACCTAGATAATCAGCTTTTTGTATGATCCTACAAAAAGACCGCGACAACTGAGCATTGCAAAAAAAAGCGATACACTAACTCAAAGTTGCAAAAATTAATAAGCCACCTGAAGGAGATGAGGTGGCAGAGCCGGAGGGTTGTGAGCCTTTGCGAACTCTCCGCGGTCCGGAATATCCTGCGAGAATGTGCGCAGTTTCTCGAGTTCTCTTAACAGATGACTATATAAAGCTCAAATAAAAAAGTTGTGAAAAAAACGTCGCTCTCTCTGTTCAACTGTGACGATGGGAAACCTTAACAAAAACGTTATTCAGCCCCCACAAACAAAAACATACAAAAAGGCGTATAAGAATGCAAAAAACATAGTGACTGCAGCCATAGCCTAACTGTTGCAGCCACAAACACCAGGACTTGAAAACCTTGAAGCCAATCCGAAAACGCTGCGAGATTTCAAAGTCAGTTCCTCTGAACATTTAGATAAATCTTACCTATCATTAGGTGTATCGTGAGATGGCTGATGATTTGGAGCTCCTCTCATGGCTTCTCCAGCATTCGATGAGGCCAAATCTTTGTCCAGTGCATCGAATACCTAATATCAGAGTAAATACGTGACATATCGCTCCAGGCCGACGTTGGCTTCTGACTAGTGTCTACCAAAGGTTCAGCATATAAACAGCAAATGAAAAGGCTGTCGGTTTAGTGTNGTGTTATTGCTCTTTCAAGGAGTAGTACCTCCGAGTATTGACAGGAGTAAGGGCGAGGTTAAAACACGCTTTTTAAGTCTAATCTGGTTTTATAAATAAAGTTAGGAGAGGGATCTTGCTCTAAGCGACTAAAAAAGTCGCGTTACCTGATGAAAACGATTAAATCATTTGAAATAGGAAACAACTCTAAGCTCGATCGAAACATGAAAAAAAGTTGAATGGAACACTATAAATGCTATGACTATAAGTCGAGACACTATGACACTGCTCAAAGACCTATCGTAACTTAAGTTTATCTTTCTCACACTTCAGTGCCACTGCAATTCAAAAAGCTTAAATTAGCCCTTATTTCTTCACGATCGATGAGTGATAATCAATCCTTCACAATTGTTTGAACCCACAACTTCTGACTACTCATCAGCCAGAACACGTGAGTTGAACCATTTTCTCAAAGCTCCTATTATAAACCGACCTCGAAATCATCCTGATCGATAGACATCACATTGTTTTCTCCGCCCAGATTGTTGTTAGTCTTTGGCTGATTATCATCCACGACCCATTTATTGTCTACCATAAACTTGTATTCGTGATGACCTTAACAGTTGCGATATTAAACATTTCCCATTCGTATAAGATAAATTATATGGCAGTTATTGAATTGGAAACAAGTGCTTTCTGTGAACCTGATAAACGTCTGTGTATACATACAAAACCTTTCTCCTCGAATCAATGACGCGAACAACTCAACTAGTCATGTTACCCCCATTTGCATAAAAATTCCTGCAATAGGATTACAGGAACACTTCGGGAAACTGGAGCAACAACTTTTAGGAGCAAATGTGAGAACAAATATAAAGATAAAAACAACAACAAAAAAGTACTCTCTTTGTGTGACAAGATGTAAGGCAGGAAAACAAGCCAACCTGGGGTCAGTTCTAAAATCGTGCTGAAATCGTTCGCTGACTTGACGAGAGGAATTTTTTGACGCCAACCATCCCAGGATCCGCATATATAGACAGTACGTGGCTGGCTAAATGAACAGCCATGGCTCATTATGTGACACAAATCATGAATGGTATCATAAATGATGAGTAAAAAGATCATGGGGGTTCAGATCCAATAGGAAACAAGACAAAATATTCGATATGGTACTGTCACGACCTATCCTGATACTAATAATGTACCCAACCCTTCTTGCACTGCAGTCGTAGGAGATATTCTATTTTGAAAAAGTTAGTGGGGTTTCAAATTTTTACAGTTGAAATTGGGAGAGATTCTGAAAATGCTGTAGGATTCTCAACTAAGCCTAATATGAACCTAGACCATTCACTTTCTTGCTCAATATTACCATGTACCAGAAGAGCCTCACCCCCGTATTCATAGAGACCATTACTAATAGCCACACACACAGCACAAGGCCGATCTGACCTTAGCAAGAATGTCCCACCTGGTAGCAGAACAATGCCATTTGAAAACGACAGGATACTCATTAGTTTCCCTGAACTGCACCGTAGGCGCCATTCCGCCTTCCATATCGTCATCACTTTTCGCTATTTTAACCTGAAATTTGGTTATAGAGCAAGTTCAATTGTTTAGACTTCCATACATTGGAAGGACTCATTCATTCGATGTCACAAGACCAGGCAAAAGCAACAAATCACATGCCTGTACAGGGCATCCATCTTCAGGATTGGAGATGCTCTGAGGATTTCCGCTGTAGGTTCGGTGTCGACCAGGTGTGCTCACCCCTGAATTGAATATCAATATGAAAATATTATCATCCTACTAATTTGAACATAATTGTGGGATACCCCTTTATTCTTGGCAAATGCTTACAACAGTCTAAACTCTTATGAGCAACATCAACAATAATTGTCTGTTAAACGACGTATCCAGCAGCGAAAATTTAAAGTTCGGATACGAAGGAAACGAATTTGCATCCGGTCGCTCTTTTCAAGTTAATCTGCAACTATAAACCAACCTAAATTCGAAACAACTATTACTAACTTACCAGCATAGCCTTCTCCAGGACGATCCCGCTTATTGATTCCCCCTGGTTGGTTATTACCCATTCCAATTTTGAACAAACGAACAAATACAAGTTTTAATTCGAACCTAAAATATGAATAATAGAGCCTAATAAGTGTGATCAATATTGAAGCACTAGATACAACAGTAAGTCGATAATTTACGAAGAAAACGGACGTCGACTTTTGGAAACAACCAGAGAAATTGAAAACACATCACATGACTAACAGCGTGGTTCTGATCAATGATGACAGATGGATGGGCACGCAAAAAGATTATTCCCAGATCACGTGGAACTATTGCCGACCAAACCTTCCGTGCTGCAGAGCCCAGACAAGGAAGAGACGAAAGAGCGAAAGACGGGCTTCGTTTTTGCCTTTAATATCCCAGCAAGGAAGAGATATGGAAATGAAATCACGACACAAGATCGTTCAAAAGCAATCGTAACAACCGAAGCCCATTGCTTTTATTTTTCGCTTGCTTCAATTGTAGAAGGAAAAGGAAAGAAAAGTGAATGGGAAAAACAGGTTTTGAAAATGCCACTAGTTTTCCAAAATAAAAACCCTGAAAATACTCCAAGAAAAGCTTCATTTCTGCAGCGATAGTGACAAAAAGCTGCAAGATATCCTACACAAATGATGCAAGTATTCCGAGATTGAAGAAAAACGGAGTTCTTGAGTTCCGCCAGCCTCTGGCATGACCAAAACCTCAAGTGAACAACGATTGGGGCAACCTCGCGCCACAAAGTGGGTCCTGTGCAGAACGGAACCGCTCGGATCGTCGCGTCGCGGGCAGGCCCCAGCAGACCAGTTGTTGTTTACAGCAACTTGCCGTTACCTGCAACCTTTACTAGAGATCCATTTAAGGCCCTCTATCAAAATCCTTTGTCAATGTGCCCTATGTGGTGGATGAACAAAGAGGGTTGTCTATAGGGCACAGGTCTGATATGGGAACTTGGTTGTGCGGTTAGAGGGCGGTTGTCAACCAGAGTTCCACTCCCTCTCTGCGTCTCATGTCCACCATCCGGTGAGAGTCTTCCTGCTCGACTTCTGCAGTATACGCTAGAACGTTCCTTCGTAGGAGATGGGCATGGGAGTTCTAGTCAGGCTAGAAGAGGTGAGAGGCTTCGAGAACCCTTACCCCATTTCCCACCTACACGTAATGAAAGGAGAGCGGATAGGAATGAGAAGCCAACAATATGTGGGCAGCTAAAAGTCGAGTCGTCGGTGGCTGTCTAACCTAAGCACTTTCGAGATTTGGGGGATGTACAGGACACGGGTGTGAGTGGTGGGTAAGCTAGAAGGTTTCTGTAAGGGCCGAGTACCAGTACTGAATTTTCGTTTCTGTGGGATTGGTTGCGTTTCAACGATACACTAACTTACTTGGAAAATCCAGACTAATCAAGAATTTCTAATGGTGTGGCAGGAGAGCCGTTTCCTTAGAAAGCTCTGGACTCTTCAAAAACGCATGGAAACATTGAAGCGCTTGGAATGCTGCTGTGTCGAACACCACGCTAAGGAGCTTTCATGAGACTGTCCATGTGGAAAACCAAGTGCTATTATCAGTGGCGGGACATCGATGTGGGATAGTGAGCCCTTCCGTCTACGCATTTTGAAAAGAAAAGCCCATTCAAGACGGCACAGAAAGGACTGCAAAGACGCTACAACTCCTTACGGGCAGCATGGAAAGTGCCCATGGATAGGGAAAGAACAACCCTACCGAAGATTAGATTTCAGCGTGAAAAATTTCAAACGACCTTTTCTATTGCTGTGTGACAGATAACTGACGGTGGAGCAGAAAATTCACAGACCTAGTTAGGTAAAATAACAGCCTTTGACGATCACGTGGCTTCTACGACTCCGTTTCATCGAGATTTCAGAGAACTATGACACTTATGAGAAGGAACAGCCCTGAGGATAAATGTATCTTCCACTGCTACACGTCTTACGGTATGTCATGCTCACCATAAGCGTTTTAGAAAGATTCATCCCCACCTTGGTCAAGGTCGTTACTATGGGAATGACGCTTCCCTGGATTCTCGTCAAGGTGGAGCCGTATAGAGGGCAAACGACTCGTGATCGCTTAGCGCTGTTGATTCTTGAGTTGACAATGGGAGGTTCTTTGCTCAATCGTCATCAATCTGACGTAGACATCAGTGGGAAAAGGGCATCCGAAAGTTTGCGCTTGTCGGAATCATTTCCTTGGGCAGATTCTCGATTCCTCTACCTTGAGCGCTCTCCATGTAATCACCACGTGGTAAGCAGTTGCATACTGTCAGTGTCACAGTGAGTAAGTATCACCGACGACAGGACAAGAGGTTTTTCCCTCATTACCAACAACATAATACGCTCTTAATCCTTGTGCTCAGAACTGTTACTTGGCCAGTCTTCAAGATTAAGCTTTTTGCCCAAGCCCAAAGAGGGAAGAAGAGCCGGAGCAGGTGTGGTTTATGAAGAAGACATACTTTTCACAAAGTGAAGTGGTAGCATCCTAAAATACTACCTTGCCAGAGAGCTCAAAAAGGACATGAAGTTGCTTGTAGGTACGGATCAGCACGCTGTTCACCATGTGTTTTCGAGTGCTGACTTCGAATCTGCTTCAAAAACTTGTCAAACCTTCTGGTGGTGTTTTTAGTTGAGCGCTCAACATAGCTACTTCAGAAGAAATGATTCTGCAGCCCCTTCCTCCAAACTGACCATAGGTCTCATTGAATCCTTCTTCAACATTACTAGATTCGTAGGCACGAGACATGCGGACATTTGCAATATGATAGCCCCTATAAAATGGAGTGCTGTCCATTCATGAGTGTCATTTAGAGAACATCTCAAAGTGCACATGGATCGTATTTCAAGCATTTAAGCTCCATTGTATGAGGACAGACAAGGTGATTAAGCCCAATCACGGAAAGCGAGTATCTAATTTTGAAAGTGCTCCTGACGTTTGACTTATTCATGTCCTTAAAAAGCAGAGAGCGTAGGAGAAGAGTTGAAATAACTTCACCTTCCCTAGGGTAAACCTAAGTACCTACTTGGTATTGCGACCAGCTTGAAGCACCACCTAAACACTCGTTTCTCTAGTGATAGAGTCTGAAAGCCTTTGGCATTGACCGATTCCTTTTTGGGATGCCATCGCTTTGTTTTCTACTTTTTTAAATGTGTGTGTGGCCAACATAATGACTTGCAGAGGCCAGAATATGCACACTACAGTGCTTTTATCCTCCCAGACAAGTCTGGTACCACCAACCTCAGACTTTGGAGAGATCTTGCTGGCCTAGGCGGGTATTGCGGGATTCAATCGTCGAAGCATGCGTTCTGATAGTGCGCCACTTGCCGCTACACCCCGTCCGTCCACCCCCTTTTTTTCTCATATTCTAATGTAATCCTTCTGCACATAAGGTTAGGAACCACATTCAATTTCATCCTTACTTACATTCGAGAATCCGCTATTTGACCCATGTTTCGAGCACAAGTGGGCGTAGAATAGAGCCGATGTGAGGTCTTAATTGTTGCCACAGAGCTTGCCAGCTCTAATTATAGTGATGAGCCATCTGTTATTGGCATGGCATCCCCACGTACGCCGGGCGGCAGGAAATAACATTATTTCTATCGCCAATTGTCTCACATTTCAAAAAATAACGATATGACAGATTCAGATGGATCCATTCATATCCACCATCAGCCATATCTTAGATCATAAACGTTCTTCGCTCGTACATGCACCTTTCTTTTCTCTTCCTTCACGGGATCGTTCGTAGTCATTCGTTAATCGTTTGTGCGAGACGTTTCAGAAAAATTTGTTCCTCCAGAGGAGTAGAGCAAACCTTAAGCCTAGTCTTGAAGCCTCTCATAACAGGTCGTAGACCTTTTTTGGACTTTTGGATTTTTTTTTTGGATTAGTCCCGACTTCACCCGTGGGTATTGAAAGCCTCGCTAGCTTTCTGTGTATTGGAAAGATACTATTAACCCTAAATGGGTATTGGCTATGTAAATGCAGACATTCGCTTCTCGCTGAAAGTGATTTATTATTCTCGGACCATGCAACAAACTGCTGGGAAAACGAGAGGTGCATCAATTTTC